TGGGTACACAACGGTTCCCTCACCCAAACTCTCTTGTGCTATCCTTTTGTAGTCACATCCTCTCTCACACCGTAACCTCTGCCAACCACTGAGAATTATTTTCCATCACTGTAGTTCTGTCTTTTTGAAAACTCCCTTTCCTTTTGCTCTCCCTTTTGCTTCATGCATGTTTAAGTGTGAGTGCAAAGGACTTTAGATCCCATGCCAGCAGACTGTCTCCTTTACAGTTATTGTTTTGTTATTTTCTGTTGCTAACATTTATTAGCATCTGTGATGTCCCAGGCATTTGTGCTAAGCTTTTTACATACATTATCTTATTTTAATCTTACAAGAGCCTGATGATATATGCACGCCATTATTATCTCCACTGTACAAATATGGAAACTGAGGGTAAGAGAGGTTAAGTGACCCTGCCTAAGGCAAATAATTGAATCCCAGCACAAACCCAGCTCCATCTGATGACATATCCTTAACATTATGGTAAGCAATAAAAGGGAAGGGATTGTGACTCGGAAGGAGGTACACAGAGAGAGGTTGAGGGCAGAGCCAATTTGGTGCCATATGGTTTTCTGAAAGATTTGCAAAATGTGTGTGAAGGTGGAGAACCATCTGGGTCTTCTGACTTCTCAACCTCAGCTCCTGCCTTTATGTGTTCCTCCACCTGTCACATGTGGTCCTTGCTGACCCAGGTGGCATCTGCTTGCTGTTTTCAGGGGCTTCAGACAGTCTCACTCCCCTTGCAAATTCAGCAGAAAGCACTGTCTGTGTCACAGGACACAGCAGCTGAGACCCAGGAAAGGAGTTGGATGCCTTCTGGTTTCTACTCAGCCTCAATTCCCTCATGTGTTTTCTGACCTGATTTTCCCCCCCTTGGGGGCTTGCAACACCAGCTGAAAAAGTTTCCAGGACACAGTCACCTGGTCTGTGTGCTGGAGGTGGCAGGTATGTTCTCGCTGAGCTGGGGCAAGTGAGACAGAAATGTATGTGGTTGGCATGATGTGTAACAAAGAAGGGAGAAAGTCCGGCCTTGTAAGACCTGGGGCAGCAACATTTGTGTCAGGGATAAAGAGACAGGAGAATAAAAAAGAGAGAGAGAAGTTAATGAAGAAGTTGGAGATGCCGGGAAGTGGAAGGTTCTTGCCCTGCATATGTGTTCATTTGAGCTTGTTATTTGGGGAAGTGAAGTTTGCTAGCAAGTTACCTTCTTGAATCAGTTCCTGCCTCCTTTAGAGTCTTGGAAATGTGCTGCCGAGCCAGCATAAGTTGGGGAGAATCACACATCTGAATCACAGCCATAGGTCATTTGGAGAAAAATCAAACAGGCTGGAAATCAGGGTACCAAGGGCCATCTTTGGTCCTTAACAAAGGACCATTAACAAGCCGGTGAAAGAGGATGTGCCATTTAGAGTAAAAAATATTAAGTCACTTCAATAACAACAACAACATTTACTGAGCACTTAGTATGAGCCAGTCCCTGTGCTGAGAGCTAATTGGCATGAATCATTTCATTTCTTTCGTGCAACACCCCTCTGAAGTAGGTACTACTGTTACCTCCAATTCACAGATCGGGACTTGGAGGCCCTCAAGTTTAAGTGACTCACCCACAGTATACAACTGAGCAGCACAAGCAGGATTTGAATTCTTCTATTTTTCAAACCTAAGTTCGCAAGCTTCTCTGCTTTACTGCCTGTCTTAATTCAGAAATATTTCTAAAAATTAACACAGCGAGGAGGCGAGATCAATTATTCAGAAGCCTGTAATCTTCTGGAAGACTTGCCAAGATCCTTTGGCTTGACTGCTGTAAGGGAAGGAGTAAGAACCTGTGGGATTTGCACAGCCAGGGGCCGTCCAAGAGTCTTTCGATCTCACCTGTTGGTTTGAAATAATTGCACGCTGTAGAAATCTACAGCCATTTCCCAAGCTTTCTTTTTACCCAGTAGGCTTGGGAGGGTTTCAGGCAGGTAGGCACAATGGACTATTTTTTCTCTCTTGGGATGGCACCATGAGGTGTGACTGTTGGCTCCACCCTGGCATGCTGGCTGGCACAGGGAGCACCCGGCCTCTTTGAGCCAACAAAAAATTCTCGATGAGCCCGTTTATTAGATGAGCCTAGGTGAGCACAACAGTCTTTGGGCTTAACAAACTCACAGGCAGGAGGTTAAATGAACTCTTTCAGAGGGCCAGGTTAACATCGGGTTCTCTGGAAGAGGTGTTTTACAAAATGGTACCCTGGGACAACAGGTTATTTATGCCCTCTTAGGGCAGTACTTTATACTTAGTATTATCCTGGGCTGGACTCATCACAGATTCAAGTTCAATAATAATACCTATTACACTCTCCTGCAAGGGCTATCACTCCTTCTGCATTTTGTAGAATTCCTCATGCACGACAGGGCACAATAAACAGTCAATAATAATGTTTACTATGATAATGATCTTCCAAATGCCTTTCATCTGAGGATCCCAAAGTGCTAGGTAAACACTAATTAGTTAAGCCTCACAATGGCTCTCTGTTTTTACAATACATTTTCCTATTTTATAGAATTTTAAATTGAGACCCAGCAAACTTAAGTGGCTTGTCCAAAGTCATACAGCAGGTTTAAATTAATGATAATGATGATGCTTTGCATTCACACAGCATATGTTTTCTAAAGCAATAAGAGTATGTTGCAAAGATAATTTTCACACCATCCCAGAGGAAGGTGGGTAGCAAGTATTATTAGCTGTTGACTAAATTGGGTAAACTGAGGAGGCAGAGAGGGTAAGTAACTTGGTAAGGATTAGACCGAGGATATGAGTGCCTCCTCTGACTCTCAGGGCAGTGCAGCGTCCCAGACAATCCTCAATTCTCTGAACTGAGGGGTGCATGCCTGCTTTTGCCCTTACGGGAAAGATAGCTACATTCGTGGAAGCAGAGACAGGTTGCAGAATGACAGCCATATTTACATCCAGGAACGGGTTTGTTCATAGTCCCGGTGAGAGAGGCAAAAGGGAGGAGATGAGCCACTGCAAGTAAGGATGGCTTGGAAAATGAAGGGAACGGGGGTGGCTGAGGGAGGCTGCCAGCACCGCTCTCTCACAGAAACATCTTTACCAACCCAGGGCCCGCCTGAAAGCAGTAGCCTTCAACAGCCTTCTTCTGTGTTTCAGCCTCACGACAGGACTTGCTCCAGTGCAGCTTGGATGATGGGCACAACCCCGTCACTGGCACCTTCGTCTGATGTTACAAGTCCTTGTGAAAGAGTTCCAGGGACATGCAGTATCTTACCAGCTGTCTCTTACATATTATCAGCTCTTAATCCCACGGCTCCCTATGCTAGGAGGGGCCTGGGAATCTTCTATGTTCAAAAACTTGGTAGCTGGGGATACATTCGCTGCACCTTTTCTTAGCAACATAGCCACATCGAAAAAGATGAAAACATGAACGAAAAATATATGAAGATGATAGAGACTTGCCTCCTGCCGGTCTGGCAATGCTTTCTTAGTGAGTGATGATACTCCACCAGGAGGCAAGTCAGACTTTGCTGGGTGGGGGAGGAAACAGGCTGCTGGGTCTTAGGAATTCACAGGGGGATTTGCTGACCCCAGATAGAGCCCTACTCTCTACAAACAAGACACTTGAGATAAGTTTGCTGCCTTACCCCCCCCGCCTTCTCCAGGCGTGTGGATTCTGATTGATGACTAGACCTTGGGCTAATGGGAAGCCTGAAAGGAGGGCGCCAAGCCCTTTTCTGGAATGTGGTCACACATACAAGCACAATGGCAATAAAAAGTCTGAAGTGAAGAACTCACACCAATGCCCACGTCTTCCTGCTCTCCTTTTTGACTGTTTCCACTTTCCCTTGCTGCATGGGCAACTTGGAGGTGCAGTGACCGGAAAGAGGGGTGAGCCGCTGGAAGGAATAGTTTAGAAAAGTGTCCTGAATGCACATCATAAGCCTATTCTGCTGTGCGGAAAGGAATGCGCAGAAGACCCTCCCACCCACTGTTACTGTTCACAATGGAGTTGAGAGACTCTGCTGTCAGCTTTAAAGAAGTTAGCTTTAGGTAAGAACTTCACAGAATGCAGCCTTGACTTTCTAAGTATGCCAGCGACCCAGGTCACAGCTTCCCGTGTCTACTTTGACATGCTGACTCGTGGGGTGACAGTGCACAAAATCTCGCTGGACTCACAAGGACTGCATCATCCTCTCGAGATGTGCCCTTAACACAGCCTCCCACAAAAGCTTTGCAGCCAGGTCAGACACAGTCCTCAGGATCCATTCGCATGGTTGGCCAGAGTGATTCGCATTATCCAGACACCAAAAAGCATTAGTGTGATCTCCTGCGTGCCACTACTGGGTCCTTTGGTTTTATGGCAGCCTTTCAGGTGCATTTTATGAATGTTTGATTCATTTTGTAAATGAAGACACCTGTAGGGCTCCTGTACACATGGGTTCTACTTCACAGCCCAGCCTTCCTGTCAGTCACAGACACGCTTTCCTCCTGCACAGTCTTTGGGCATCAAGTATCAGAATAGCTTTGAAGGGATCATGAATGAGCACTGTCATAATAGCGCTTTAGGACTTGGGGTGGGAAGATGGGAGTTGGGTAAAATTGAAACAAGACCTGACATTTGCAAACTCCTCCAAGATCTCAAAAGCAAAAAGCAGCTGGATTTTTTTTTCTCTCTTTTCCCCATCCTCTGGTTTGGCCTCAAACAGCAGGAGTGAAAGATGAAGAATAATCACGAAGGCTTTCTTTGTACTGTTACCTTCTAGACAAGGGAGACAACCTGGGAGACTTTTAACAATTCTAAGAATTCCTGGATGGATTAGATAGGCTCAGGATTCCACTGAGTTTCCGTAAAATGGCCACTGCCCACAGAAACTTACCTCTGGGGAATCACTGGCAGACCTCTTTGAAATGTAACTAAAGAAAGGAAGATGTTCCCTAACTGCTGGTATACACAGACCCAACTTCCAAATGGACACGAAATGAACAAATAAGATCTGTCTTACCCCATCCATGTGGATTCTGATATTAGGCACCAGCCGGAAAGAGCTGGACTGTAGAGCTCTGGGGTTACTCTTGCCTCTCCTGCCGTCCTGCGCGGTCAGCACACCAGGCCTGCGGAAGGAGCCCCCTCTCCCCAAGCTCTGCCCCGAGCGCACACCGTCTAGAAGACGCACGAGCAGCAGGTTGGCCGGCAGTGCCTCGATGCTGCAAAACACCAGGGTCCTGCATTCCGGGCACCTCAGCTCCTTGTGGGCCTTGAAAATCCTCTGGAGACATGGTTTGCAGAAGGTGTGCTGGCAAGGGAGGACTTTGGCCGTGACATCGAGTTTTTCAAAGCACACGGGACACTCCAGAAGATCAAGTAACGTCAAATCATCCATTTTATTTTAACACTCCACTCTTGACCTGGAGGGGCAAAGTCCGCATGGTAGGGTGAGCTGAGCCAGGGGGCAGATCCCGGTCTATCCTATCCTATCTGGAGCTTCAGAATTCCTGCCTGTTTGAATGAGAAAGGAAGAGAGGAAAAAAATGTGACTGCTCAGAGAGGTATATCCCACCTACATGGAGGCAGTGTCTCATAAGGCAGTTTGCAAGCACTTTGTTCCAGCACCCAAGTTTCAAATGACTCATTCTGATTCAGTGCTAGCAGGTATAAGGCTCAACTCCTGCCTGCTGAAGGATCTGAGGGAGCATTCAGCATGGTGACCGACTACTTACTCATTGCCTCTCGGCGTGCAAACAAGAGCAGAGACAAAACGGGCCTGCAGAAGAGCCCTCTCGGCCTCGAAGGGGGTTCCCCCCACCCCCCCGCCGCAGACAGTCAATTTCAGTTCCCACAGCAAGACCCCCATGGAACACAATTTCTGTGAAGCTATCTATTCCTCCTTCTTCCCCTACTTTTATCTGTTATCTGCAGCACATGCAGACAAGTTGTGTAGATAAGTTTATCTGAACCTTCTGCAGATGTAGAATTATTTCCTTCACAGTGCACCTTCCCCCATTATTTTGTCCTAGTACTGCACAAGAAAAATTCTTACTAGAAACGCATTTTCAAATTGTTTGCCTTAAGTACAGGCCAGGGTGCTTGGAAGCTTTTTTTCTTTTTTTCTCCTCTCACTCCCTCCTTCCCCTTCTTTCTTTTTTTCTCCCTCCCTCCCTCCCTTCTTTCTTCCCTGATTATTCTAGCCTCAGAGACGATATTCCACCCACAAGACGACGTCACACAGCCTGTTTAGTTTCTTGGACAATTGTTCTCAGTTCCACCTGAAGCAGATAGGAATTCTGGATTGTGGTCACAACCTGCAAAAATCCAGACAGAGCAGTGTATACAGGTGTGCGTGTGTGGTCTGAAAACATCCTTACTCCAGTAACAATTTCCTTTTAAATGTCTGAAAAGAAGTCTCCAGTTGAGATAAGTCTCCCCGGAAGAGGTCACCTGTCCTCACAAGTGCCAAATTTTGGGTGAGCACAATGCCCAGGAGGTTTGGCTGGAGGGTGGGTGGCCCCGCCAGTAAGGGAAGCAGACATGACTTACGGGGATGAGAGATGGCGCCGTGCCCTCCTGAGACAACTCTCCAAAGATGTCAGCTCTGGGGAGACGTGCGGGGGGCCACTAACCTTGAGCTTGTAAACCCAGCTGTGTGCAGCTCAGCACAATCCTCTGATCCTCTGCTTGGCCAGGCTTCCTCCAACTGGCTTCCTTTCCCCCAAGAGCGGCTGCCACGCTTTGAAAACTTTAACAACTCTGAGTCTTACTCATTTCAAGGATCGCCTTACTCAGCCTTTGTTAACCCTTTCACTGCCTGGCAGCTAGCAGCAATTTCTGACTTCACTCTGCTGACTGATCCTTCCTTCATGTAACTGAGTTGATTTCTGGGAAAAGATTGCAGGGGACAAAATATAAGCCAGCCCCCAAGGCTAAGTATTTACAGTTTATATTTTCACTTTTCTCATTGTCTCTCTTATCCAAGAAGTTGAAACACAGCTCAGTTATAAACATGCCAGGGTGATTGTGTTTATTTTAAACCTTTATAAGGATTTGCTGAAAAGGTCAAACATATTAATGGCAGCTATAACAAAGATAACCCAGTCACCTAAAAAGTACTGCTCCTTAAAAACCAGAGTCAGTACTTGAATGTGTGGATTTGAGACGGACTTCAGTGGTCTTTTTGCTCAATCTCTTTAAATAAATTAAAAAAAAAATCTCATTATGGTAGTACATACACCTCTTTGAAAAACCAATGCACAGAAAGGCTTTGAAAAAGGAAAAGCAATGGTTCCAGACTCTCTCCCTGCCAGTGCCTATTGGAATCTTTTCACAGCACCACATAATACTTATATTTTCATTTCTTGATTTACCAATAATAAAGTCACAGAGGTATTCAATAAAGTACATAATAATAATATTACTGAACACCATAGTAGCCCTTATCTTCACTAAGCACTGTTCTACCTTTACCTGTATTAACTCATTTAATCCTTTTAGCAACCTGGTAATTCACTATACTCTTCTTTACCCTCATTTGCAAAAGAGGAAACTGAGACACAGAGAGGTTAAATAACTCATTCCAGGAGTCACAGCCAGCAAGAGACAGGTGTTCTGTGCTTTTTACTACCATGTCATATGGTGATACAGCTTTAAGGGGAGGAGAGATGGTTGAAGGGAGCTAAACCTCATCTGAGATGGCAGGAAGTCAAAAGATAATGACCCAAACTGACCAATCAACTGCTTTTGCAGGTGAGACAGCTATGCCCACAGACATCAAGAGATTCCTTGAAGTTGCCCAGTAAGTTAGGTAGAGCTGAGAGAAGAAACTGGTGTTTGTTTTTTGAACTATATCTTCTGTCTCAACTTAAGGATGACAGTTCTTTACTATGCGGAAAGCACTTAGCCACAACTCCATGGGAAAATCTTAAGAGGGGACCAAGAGGCCTGAGAACGGATGGTGATGGATTACATGTTTTACAAAGTTCTTCCATGTTATTTCTGAAAAAGCAAAGACGCATGGAGCTCAAAACAGGAGGGGGCTTTAGGATGGAGCAGACAAAGTCACATGTCTTCTGAGCACAGACACCAGATTTGAGTACGTGTCAATTTCAGAGACCATTTTCGAGTCTTTTTTCATCTCTCTTTTATGAAGGTTTTTTTGGGCTTCAGTGACATCAAATCCCATTCTGTTGCCTGTCTCCTTCAATAATTTCCACTTTTATAGGTTCTGTGCTCATCAGGAAGCCCCTTGTAGTCTGACACCCTTGTTCCTTGCTCTTTTCCCCACTTGGTAAAGCTGGGCCCTCTGCTCTGTGAGCTGCCCCACAGTGGCCTCACCCTCTAGAAAGGTCTGCTCCAGTGCCAGAACTCCTGCTGCAGGGGTGGGCAACATTTTCCCTCCTTCCCTCTCTTGTTCTTAAACACTCCACCTCCCTTAGATGTCCGTACCTGCACCTACGAGCACATGTACACACATAACTTGCATAAACATACATATAATCGTAACAGTAACTTTTATGAAGCACTTGCTGTATGCCATGGACCAGCGCTAAGACTTCAAACAGATTGCTCATTAAATCCTCCCAACCACCCAATAAGATAGGTGCTGTAACTTTGCCAAGATTGCAGAGCTTACGATCTGAACTCAGGTTGGCCCAATCCCAGGGCCTATAAAGTTATGTGCATGCCGCAAGTATACTGATACATCTTTACTGTTTAAATCCATACACATCTATATATATGTCCAGACTGTACATATCAGCTGATCTCAGATCCACCCTAAGCCAAAATGATATAACCTGTCCAGTCTCATGGCTCCTCTATGCGACTACATAGTCAGTGGTCTCAAGTAACTTCAAACCCTCCCAGCCCTGACAAAACTCAAAAACCCAGTTCCGTTCCAGGAAGGCGGGATAGATCCAGTAGGCTGTTCTGCGTTAGCTTATCTGGCAGTTGATGATTCAGCAGAATGGCAACGTGATGGGAGAATGTCAGGCACTAGTGAAGGACAGACAAAGTTTACACTGAGCAGGAGTGGTCTTTTAGCACCTCTCAAATCAAACCCTGTAGGTGGTCCCCTATACCACCCACGGATGGGGTTATCTCGGTAGAAACTTTAGAAGCTTTTGAAGAAAGGGGAGACTTTTAAATGGGGATTTCATCCTGGCTTACCCAAATACTACCTTGGCGTCAAGTCAGATGAACAAGTAGTTCCCCAAAATAAACAGAAAGGTGGATGATGCCTGCCTTCCCAGACTCCAGGCTCAGGCCACCACCTCCACTGCTCCCATCCCATCAACACTCCTTTTTATATTTATACTGTTACATAATGAGTACAGGCTGTACTTTTAAAATACCTGTGTGATATGTTTAGGAGTTTTCTTGCTGCTTATATTTACAAGTATATGTCCATTTATGTAAAAAAAAAAAAAAAAAAAAAAAAAAAAAAAAAAAAAAAAGAAAGCAAGCCAATCTGATCATACTGCTACCCTGTTCACAACCTTTTAGTAGGTTCCCACTGACTTTAGGTAATACCCAAATCCCTTTTCTGATGTAATCTGGCTCCTGCTTACCTCTCCTGCCTCAACTTACCCCACATCTCTCCTTCACTCACCCACACCAGTCCCACTGGCTTTCTCTCTTTACTGAGGAGTTCAAGGTTTTCTGCCATGAGGTGTTTGTTGTGCTCTTCTTTCTCTGTGATTCACAGTTGCTAGTTACACTCTTCCTCTCTTCCTACTTACTCTCCCCCACCCTTTGCTTTTTTTACCCCCTCCTCTGCAAGTTTTAGCTTAAATGCCACTTCCTCAGGGAAGCCTTCCTTGATTCTCATGACTAGAGAGTTTATCATCCTGTACTTGTCCTTCATAGCAGTTATCACAATCGTAATTTGGTAATTATGCTTTAATGATTTAATGCCTGATTCCCCAAACAGACAAGCTCCAAGAAAGCAAGGCACTTATGTGTCTTGTCACTGCTCTTTCCCTCAAACCTAACACAGTGACTGGCATGTGGTTGTTTAATAAATGTTTTTGAATGGTTTATTAATGAATGAATGGTATTCTCAAAAAAAAAAAAAAAAACGTGTCTGGACAGATGTACAACAAACTGGTTTTTGTGTTTGTTTGTTTGTCTGACTAGGCTCCACACCCAGTGTGGGGCTTAGAGTCAAAACCAGGAGTCACGTGCTCTACTGACTGAGCCAGCCAAGTGCCCGCACCAAACTGTTGATAATCATTTTACCTTGGACACCTCTGGGGAGCCACTTGGAATATTGTTAGGCTCATCTCTTAGTCTAAGAAATTTTTCAGATTCGGGTATATGCTACCTGGAAGTGTCTTTGCTCAGGACCCTGCCATACATCTCTTGCCTCCTGCCCTGCTGCTTCCCTGA